ACACAAGGTAGGAGTCATCTTCAGCTAAGACAGTTTTATTTTTCTAACAGGGTGGTTCGCTTTTGAAATGGGTTGCCTTTGGTTGTTGTAGAGGCAGTAAATTTAAGTGAGTTTAAGAAAAAGCTTGATAAGGTTATGAATGATAAGGGCTGGCTTTAAGATTTTTTTTCTATTATTTTAATTTAGTTGAGAGGATGGAACCACAAAGATGGACCAATAGGTCCCATGTTGTCCCAAAACATTATGTTATGTTAATATGTAATGCTGATTTACACATTTTTTGTATGTGGTAGCATAAACATTTGAAGCAGTTAGAATATATCTATCGACCCTGGAATTTTGTATTTATAAAGTGGAAATCACAATTACTAGCTCATTGAAATAAAATGTATTATAGTTATGGTTTTCCAAATATTTTTTATTTGTGCACCTGACCAACTATTTTCCAATTTACAGATATTAGTTAATATCTTATTTCATATTCTTTTTGAATAAGGTAGTTCTTATATGCAAAGTTAATGTTAATCTACATTTATATACAGTATTATTGTGGTAATTTGAAGGTAAATCTTCTGACTAATTTCTCAAACGTAAAACTAAATATAGAATAAATGAATAACTATAGTCATCTGTAGGTAAATGTATTTAGATAAAAATGGTGAATAAAAGAACATAAAACAAACAAGATCAGCAAACTGAAAAATTTAACTCTTTAGGTGTGTACTTTTTTTTTCCAGTCATATCATGCTCAAAATCAATGTCAGCTTGCACAAATTCAATTGTCCCTTCAAGTGTGAAAACATTGGCATGATTTGATGCCATTTTGGGTCTGTTTTCTCAAACAAATTAAACGATTTTTAACTGCAAGTATTACCAATGTTTTGAATAACAACATATACCATGCTATATACAAACTGGCAGCTGAGACCATCATCTGTGCAGAATAGGCTTTGTCTATTGATTTTGTGTGCTCATTTCATATTTATAGTGGGAAATTCAGATGGCATTATGAATGCAATTTGGAGTTTTCAGTCTTTAAAGAGGTAAGACTTCCTGTGGGAATCTCATCTGTGTTTCTTAACACTTTAGGTGTGCCCATCACTGTATGGCAACCACATAATATCACAACACCAACATTTCCATGTGCACAATACCTTAAATTGTATAATGTTAAAAAACATATTCTACATGTTTCAGTAGATAACATGATTCACCATTTTCAGGAGATCAAGATCAATAGAGATCATCTCTACTCCATGTGACAGCCATAAATTACTACCTATACACAAGGTAAAGTATGAAATAGTAGAGTCTTTGTAATGAGACTCTGCTAGAAAAATACTGAATTTTTAGCACATGACCTTAACAAGAATTAGTACATTCCAAATCAGGACTTAAAAGAATGTAAACACATTTGTCATTATGAAACAGGAGTGTGAGATATGTGGTATTTGAAGATATGAAACAGGAGAGTGAGATATGTGGTATTTGCATATTATACTATGACATGAATTTTGTGCTCGCTAAATGAATATAATTTTAGATTTATTTATGTAATCACAGGAGATTTTATTTCATATATATTTAATTTGTTTCGGAAAGAAAATTCAGTTGAGAGTTATTTGGCATCTCAAGGATAAGGGCAACTTGGAAGTAAGTTTGAAGTCTTATCTCCAGTCCCAATGGACCCAGGACTCTAGTGTGACAACCAGACACTGGTATGAGACTTTAAGTTCCTGGGATGATAGCTGGAAAGAATGTTGGAGCATGGAAGGGTCACATGCTGAACATTTGAATAGTCTACTTCATGAATAAGTGGATTTTACTGTGAACCTCTAAATAAACATGAACAGAAGAAAATATAAAGATATTTACAATTTTGGATTGCTAGTTAGGCTGCTGTTGTGCTCCAATGAAATGCTGTTGCATTAAGCTCAAGTGCCCTTGATGCTAAACCATCATTCATTGGTTGACTTTGGCTACAATTACAGAATCATTACTGTCTCTATGGAATTCACAGACAGAGGTTTCATTTTAGTCATGTTGATGTATTAGGCAGAAGATCTTTTTTATCAAGTTTACCTTTATTTCATGATTTATTGAATTTTATATTTTATTCAATAACTAGGAAAGAATATATTTTTATTCAAGATTTTCTGATAAATGTTTCTACATTTTTGTGGAGATATTCTGCATGTAGTTAGTTGGCATCTTTGTAAAAGGTCATAAGCTTGCACTTATCCTGTAGTTTAGACCAAGATTGTACACTAAGACTAATAATTTCTTCACCATGTATTTATGTCATGTCCTCCTGCAGTGAAACCATCACCATTCAAGAGTGGTAAAGACACTTGTACAAGTTAGTATGAGCTAGGGGAGGTTACCTTCTTTTACTATATTAAAATAATGATAATTCACATAGGTAATCAAGGATTGTGGCTATTACACTAGACATTTTCTTTTTGCAGAAACAAGCTAAAAATCAGTTAATGTACATTACTCAAAAGCACTGAGCAACATAAACCAAGAAAATGGCTTACTAACATCCATTAATAGGATCAAAAGATGCAAAACTTAGTTCTGTTTACATATGCCAATGACAATAGTTTGAACAACATTTAATATATATGCCTTGGATCACTTCCATTTTATTACATGAGTGAAAAAATGATTATTAAGAGACTGTTAAAATGCTAATGAAACATTTACTTTTTATAGAATATAATTCCATGTGAAAGTAAAATATGACTTCTAAAAAATTATTATGGTGTCTTTGTATTAATTTCACTTTTACTGAGTACTGATTTACTTGTGCAATTTGTTCTTTCTCAGATTATTATCTTATTTACAATCCAGTGTTGTGAAAGGTTATCTTGATATGTTTATTGAATTAAACAAGATAATCAAAATATTAAAACTAAACAATACTAAAAACTTACAGGTTTAATGGTTTGGGATGGAAACCTAGATAATGCAGAATGTTGCTAATGTTCTGTATTCCTATCCAAAACTTGTTGAACTTACCTGAAAATAACAAAATTTAAACAACAATTATAATTTATTTAAAAATTCTCACACTATTCAATGCATGTTTGACATAATGAGTCAACTTTGATTAAGTAATCCAGATTTTTAACATAACTGTTGCCATATTCCCTCTTTAGAGAAATAATGGCAAACACAGGTATAAATCTACTCTACATGATTTGGTTAGATGGAATAACAATGTGAGAACAACTGCAGAAGATACAAAATATGCAAGTTTGATGAACATAACTAAGCACTGTTTATTTCCTGTCTGTAATTATCTTACATGTCTTCAAGTTGAAAGGATGAAACTAAGAAAAAATAAAAGTAAAACAAACTTGAAGTTAATAATGGTTGGAGATGGCTTGAATGGGTAATGAAGAAAGAAAAACTTTAATATAAGTTTAACATAACAGCAAATGTACAATGTTTCAACAAGGTTTTGATGATGGCAAAACCTTGTCGAAACATTGTACATTTGCTGTTATGTTAAACTTATATTAAAGTTTT